AAAATAAAAAATGAAACCTTTATAATGTATTGGGCCACTTGTTCTCTGGTAGCCGTCTGTCACTGCCTCTTTGGTGACCTTGGCGACGTCCGGTGAGCTCTACAAAGGACCATGCACAGACACCACCCTGGTCTTCAAACGGGTCTTCTCAAACACCAGAAGTGCTTACAACAAAATCACAGGTACGGTATTTGACATGTGTGGGTCGGATAGGGCTTACATTCATTTCTAGTGACAGATTGTTAGCTAGCTACGCAAGGTTTCTGGCCTTGCATGAACTTGCAGTGTCAATGTGGGTAGTGGATACATATTAGTAGTAGGCCTGCTAGTAGTATTACTACTAGTAGTAGTACAGTATATCTTACTGCTTCCCCTCTGTTACAGGTATCTTCACTGCACCCATGAATGGCCTCTATTTCTTCACCTTCAGCACATTCGGCTACAACTCCCACCACACAGGGGCCATCTTTGTGAAGGGCGGAGTTGACCAGGTGTCTGATTCCAGAGACAGTGACAGCACTAGCAACGCTGTCGTCCTACAATTGGACGTTAGTGATGGGGAAACAAAGCTTCTTGAAGCGTTGAGCATTTCCAGCAAATTGTGTCGAAAATAGGTTAATTACTCGAGGCTTTGATCAACAGTGTACACTAGTGGCAACTGCTTGTCAAAATAATTTAGAATAGCCAAGATGTCAATTCAATGTCCATTCCACGTTGGTTCAACGTAATTTCATTGAAATGACATGGAACTAATGTTGATTCAACCAGTGTGTGCCCAGTGTGCATGTAAATAGTGTTGTCACTACTGTAAAAAAATAAAATAAAGTGATTCCCACTACTTTAGAGAACATTTATGATCTCCCTTAATATTTTCTCTCTTTATACAATAGTTTACAGATATGATGAACATGTGGGTTAAATTACATTACATTATTGGAGAAGTTTGATAGTAGGTTTTACTTGATTTTCAAGCTCTTTTAACGTTATATTTTTTTAAACTGTACTTTAGATTCTCTTAATGGATGTATTGTTTTAATAAAATATGTTTGTTTAATTAATTATTATGCTCTCTTGAATGTTAATTCCAGTGGCTACGCTACCGCAGTGTGGGGTGGGGCAGGTGTTCATCTAGGGGTAGAGATGTAGAGATATCCCCTCTACCTGGCAGAGGTGAACCATCACTGGGCCCAGCACAGCATATTAATAATGTCTTCCTTGTTCTTGGTTACCTTCTCATTTGTCCCGTGATGGTGCTGTCCACTCTGTCTTCAAAAAAACCAAATGATGGTTTCTTGACATTATGAGGCAGACTGAACGCCATCCAAATGTGTTCCTTGTCAAAACATATCCTCCCCTTGGGGAAAACAGGTAAATCAACTATGTCTAGACGCTCAGTCACATGACAACCAACTACACAGGAGCACCAATACTACACTGAGCCGCTCAGTGTAGGGACCTTACCTTTGAACATCCCTTGACGATGGGAAAGATGACTACTCTGCTACTACTGAGCTGCCTGTCCGTGGCCCTACTATACACCGTATGTGGTGATCCGGTAAATCTGTATAATCTTCTGAAAGATAGAGTGGACTATATGGAAAAGCAGCTGGGCAAGATTGCAACCCTGGAAGAGGACCTCAGTTCCACAAAGGCAAAACTGAAGTTGCAGGTAGCAAGAGTAGACTCATTAGGGCAAGAGAATGAAGGTATATCAGATAAGATAACAGCTCTGGAGGCCAAGCTCAATGCTACAGAGGTAGACCTGGAGGCGCAGAAAGTTGAAGTGGGCAGACAGAGGCTTGGAAGCTAGACTGAAGTCTTTAGATAAGTACCTGGAAAAATTAACTGATTTAGAGGACAAACTGAATACCACAGAGAAGGAGCTGGAGAAGAGTGCTAAATTGGACAGACTCAGAGGCTTGGAAGCTAAACTGAACTCTCTAGAGCAGCAGCAACTGGATGGACAAAGAGCGTTGGGGGCCAGGCTCAATGCCACAAAGACAGAGCTGAATGCTGAAGTGCAGGAGCTGAAGAGAGAGATTAGAGGTAAGACATCTTTTCAACCAGTTTTGCTCACTGGATTGAGATGTAAATAACAAGTGTAAACACTTGACACTTAACACTTCTCCAACATCCTCCCCTCTCCCCTTTCCTCCTCCTCCTACCACTTCTATCCCTCTATCTTCTCTCCCCTCTTCCCCAACATCCTCCCCTCTCCCCTCCACCTACCACCACTATCCCCCCATCTTCTCTCCCATCTTCCCCAACATCTACCCCTCTTCCTTCTACTCCTCCTCCTACCATTACAGTATTGGACAGCAATATTTATCATGTATGATATTATCAATACCAGAGGTGTGGACTCGAGTCACATGACTTGGACTCGAGTCACACATTTTGTAACTTGAGACTTGACTTACACTTGGAGCCTCAAGACTCTGGACTCGACTTTGACTTGAGACTGATGACTTGAGAAATGATCTGGACAGGTTTTGTAATGTTTTGTTACTCATTTTGTGGCACAGAGTCTCCGTGGTTCACGCCTCGATCACACCGACAGCATTTGGTACACCAGAACTACCCTCATTTCCAATGGAACGCTGAGTTTACCTTGCAGTTAATTTACCTATGAAGTCATCGTCAACACCACAGACTTCCCAGCCAACCACTCAGGTAGCACTGGTTATCATTGTCCTCCAATGTGGTTTTGATTAGTCATCACTGTTGTGTGTGTTTGTTTGTTTGTTTGTTTGTTCTGTTCTGTTCTCTGTTTCCCCTCACGTCCCCTTATCCTCCTGTAGGTGTCTCCAAAGCTATTCTGACTGCTGCAGGTTCCACAGTCCAAGCAGAGTTAGCACAAGGTTTGTTTACGGTGTTTCCATACACAATCATATTAACACAATCACAAACTCTCCGAGCAATCCATTCACACAAGTCAGAAAGTAATCATTTGACGAAGTCAAATCTTTTTCACTAAGATGTAGAGACATTGAAAAATCACTTCACAGATCACTTTATCAGCTTATTCTTCACTTATCAATGGAGGCTGGTGCGAGGAGCTATAGAAGGACGGGCTCATTGTAATGGCTGGAATGGAATAAATGGAACGGTATCAAACACATAAAACATATGAAACCCTTGATTCAATTCCAGCCATTACAATGAACCCATCCTCCTATAGCTCCTCCCACCAGCCTCCACTGTCACTCATATGTCTATAATTGAACACTAAGTGCCAACCAGTGGAGGCTGCTGAGGGGAGGACGGCTCATAATAATGGCTGGAATGGAGTCAATGGAATGGTATCAAACACATCAAAGACGTGGTTTCCATGTGGTTGATACCATTCCATTGACTCCATTCCAGACGTTTTTATGAGCAGCCTCCCCTCAGCAGCCTCCCCTCAGCAGTCCTCCCATCAGCAGCCTCCCCTTAGCAACCTCCCCTCAGCAGCCTCCCCTCAGCAGTCTCCCCTCAGCAGCCTCCCCTCTGCAGTCCTCCCATCAGCAGCCTCCCCTCAGCAGTCCTCGCCTCAGCAGTCCTCCCCTCAGCAGTCCTCCCCTCAGCAGTCCTCCCCACAGCAGTCTCCCTTTCAAAAGTCTCCCCTCAGCTGTCCTCCCCATCAGCAATCTCCCCTCAGCAGTCTCCGCTCAGCAGTCTCCCCTCAGCTGTCCTCCCCTCAGCAGCCTTTCCTCAGCAGTCCTCCCCTCAGCTGTCCTCCCCTCAGCAGTCTCCCCTCAGCAGGCTCCCCTCAGCTGTCCTCCCCTCAGCAGTCTCCCCTCAGCAGTCTCCCTTCAGCTGTCCTCCCCTCAGCAGTCTCCCCTCAGCAGTCTCCCCTCAGCTGTCCTCCCCTCAGCAGTCTCCCCTCAGCAGTCTCCCCTCAGCTGTCCTCCCTCAGCAGTCTCCCCTCAGCAGTCTCCCTCAGCTTCCTCCCCTCAGCAGTCTCCCCTCAGCAGTTCCTCCTCAGCTGTCCTCCCCTCAGCTAGTCCTCCCCTCACAGTCCTCTCCCAGCAGCTTCCTCACTGTCCTCCCCTCAGCTAGTCTCCCCTCAGCTGTCCTCCCCTCAGCTTGTCCTCCCCTCAGCGTCCCCGCTCCCCTCAGCATTCTTCCTCCTCAGCTGTCCTCCCCTCAGCTGTCCCTCCCCTCAGCAGTTCCTCCTCTCAGCAGTCCCACTTCTCCCTCAGCTGTCCTCCCCTCAGCTGTCCTCCCCTCAGCAGTCTCCCCTCAGCAGTCTCCCTCAGCGTCCTCCCCTCAGCTGTCCTCCCCTCAGCAGTCTCCCCTCAGCAGTCTCCCCTCAGCTGTCCTCCCCTCAGCTGTCTCCCCTCAGCAGTCTTCCCTCAGCTGTCTCCCCTCAGCTGTCCTCCCCCTCAGCAGTCCTCCCCTCAGCAGTTCCTCCCCTCAGCGTCCTCCTTCAGCTGTCCTCCCCTCAGCTAGTTCCTCCCTCAGCAGTCTCCCCTCAGCAGTTCCTCCCTCAGCTGTCCTCCCTCAGCTGTCCTGCCCCTCAGCATGTCTCCCTCAGCTAGTCTCCCCTCAGCATTCGTCCTCTCCCTCAGCTGTCCTCCCCTCAGCAGTCTCCCTCAGCTGTCGCTCCCCTTCAGCAGCCTTCCCCATCTGTCTTCCTGCGTCACAGTCTCCCTCAGCTATGTCCCCTTCAGTTGTTCCCTCCCTTAATTGCCTCCTGTCCTCACCTAGCTGCTCCCATCAGCAGTCTCCCTCAGCATTTTCCTCACTGCCTCCATCAGCTTGTCCTCCCAATCAGCAGTTCCATTATTTCTCACTCTTATTCTCCTCTCCATCAGTGGTGATGCAGCAAACTGGATGTGCACCACAGGGCCCGGTGCACTGGACAGATATTGAATCAGTGTGAGAGAAAGGGCCTCCGATCTGCAGCCTTCCCTGCAGTCAACACTGGTATGTACAGTATGTCCCATTTTTTTGTGAAATGCAATACGGACTCCCTTAATTTGCTCTTGTATCAACCCTCTGCCATACCAATTTATGTTCGATATTTTTATTGTGCGCATTTATTAGTCTTCAATGCCGTAGGTCACAATTTTGTTCATATCAAAACAAATACTGAGGAACAAGTTTTCATTAGTTACACCAGCATCTATATTCTGTAATTTACTGGTTAGATGATATTATAGACATTAAAAAACTCTTATTTGCTGTACAGGTGCTGCTCGAGTAGATGTATAAAATAAAATGAAATGTATTCTTTTTATTAGCCTTCTTAATTAAAAATCTCAATTATTATATCTAATGAGAACAAATACAGGATGCCCCTCTTGCATTCCTACAAGCATACGCTAACATCTTACAGTTTTGACATATAATATGGTATGTAATTGACCAGAAAAACATATTGAACATTTCTAGCATATTTCTAACACATTCATCATCATCTTTTCCTCACATGGGAAAGAGCAGGAAACCGTTAAATGAGGAGTAGTGATTGCCATTGTCAGATATCCGACGTCCATCACTCCAGAGAGCAACGTACACCTGCTCTCCCACTTGTAGCAGGAAGGTGGCGCTATTGGATGAGGACTCAGAGGAACCTCCTTCCTTCTCATCATACACAGAGACCATTCTCTGTCCGTTATGACATAAGCTTGCCCCTGTCACTGTACTCCTTCCCCAATCAAAAGCTGTGAAGGTGAAATGGTAGAGTCCTCTCACTGGTGCTGTAAAGATGCCTACAATCGGAGGAAAAATAGAAAGTATTAAGAATTATTGTTCATTTAGTGTATAAGAAGTAAGGAAATGTAACATACAGTAATAGCTACACACAGCATACTAACTAATGGAAGCATGAGCTTTGTGTGTAAAAATGTAAATACATTTTTTTGACATTGAGGTAAATACCTGTGGTTGGATTGTAGGCATTTCCAATGTTTGATAGAACACGCCGGAAGACCAGAGTGATTTCATTGCTGACAGGTCCAATGGTTCCAGAAATTCCTAAAGTAGCTGAGAACGCCACCTGGGGCCTGTCTAGGATTTAAGATGACATGACAACATTAGCTTTACAGTTAAATTTTGATAATTTACAATAATTACTGTTTAGTTTAAGTTAACACAACTTGATTGGCACAACAACATGACAAAAAAAAATGTCATGGGTAAATTACAGTTTGATCAGAATTACTTTAAGTTAACTTATAATACAGTAAAACAATTGAAAATTGGAACACTTTGAACATACTCATTGATTATGCACTAATGCTTCCCAGTGAACATCATACATCATACACTTTACCTTCATTGAATCTCTTCAGTTCATTCACTGTGGCATTTAACGACCTAACTTGTCTCTCACTGGCTTCCAGCCTGTTTCTCATGCCTTCCAATGACCTAACAGTTGCTCCCAGTCTCTCCTCCATTGCCCCCAGTTCTCTCATCACAGTATGAATGGTAGGCTCACATCCTGATAGGGTTGTTGTTGTAGTGGATGCGGTCTCCACCTGCTGGTTGTGAGTCTTGTATTCATTCTCTATGTTCCGTCCCTGTTCAGGCTGAATCTGTACCATAATGTCATTCAGGTTGTCTTCTCCAACATCTTCACTGAGAGTCCCAGACAGACACAGCAGCACCAGGGTCAGAGTCAGTCCCCCCATTCTACAGATCAATACTTAAATGTGTACTTCAGTAGTAGATATATCTACTGCGGCTATATAACCTGCAGGTCTGTATTGATTCTCAGGCTTTTTCCTCTGTGATGTGTCTGCGTGTAGCCTACCTCTTGTTTTTATAAGCATGTCTGGGTTAAATATTATCCAAAGACATTGATGAGGAGAGGTATAAACAAAACAATAATTATGTTTGTGTACACGAGAACCTTGACTCATGTGGCCAGAGAGTTCATAGAAATTACCTTTTTATTTGGTTATACACTTTAGTTTACATTTTGTATTTATTCATAATATTTTTATGGAATTAAAGCTAATACATTGTTAAGAGTATTGATAAATTCTAAATCAATTACAGTAAATACAAATTATACCGTGTATGTATAATTTAGAAAATAAGATGTAGTATTACATTTTGAATATTAATATTAGCTCCAAGTACATTGGTTTTACATAGGATAAAGGAGGTGACCACTGAAGGTATTGTAAATGAGGTGGTCCTCGTAGACCCTCATGTTTGCCAACAGACGCATGTAGACCTGGTCTCCCTCTTCCAACAGAATGGAGGCACTGTTGAATGAAGAGTCATCTGTGCTCCCTGACTTCTCGTCATGGATAGAGACTATTGTCTGCCCATTATAATATAAACTGATAGCAGTACTGTGTGCACTGGCATGATTGAAAGCAGAGAAACCAAAGACATAGACTCCTCTCACAGGCCTCACAAAGATGCCTGAAAAACATTAAAGAAATTAATCAATGAAAGCTTTAGTCAATTGTCAATTTGTTAAATTGACATGCATTGTATAAGATGGCTCAACCATGGTTAGAAATCACCTACCTGTGTTTGAGCTGTAGGCATTGCCAACATTGGTGAATATCTTTCGGTAGACTGAAGTAGTGCCAGTGTTATACGGCCCTATATGTCCACCATGAATTCCTAGCGCAGCTGAGAAGGCCACCTTTGGTGTCTCTGTAGACAAACAAAGGTTGGTGCTCAGCAAACTTGTGAGGATAGCAACAAAAGCAACAAAGTTGGGTAGTGAGCAAAAGCAACAAAGTCGGGTAGTGAGCAAAAGCAACAAAGTCGGGTAGTGAGCAAAAGCAACAAAGTCGGGTAGTGAGCAAAAGCAACAAAGTCGGGTAGTGAGCAAAAGCAACAATGTCGGGTAGTGAGCAAAAGCAACAAAGTCGGGTAGTGAGCAAAAGCAACAAAGTCGGGTAGTGGGCAAAAGCAACAAAGTCGGGTAGTGAGCAAAAGCAACAAAGTCGGGTAGTGAGCAAAAGCAACAAAGTCAGGTAGTGAGCAAAAGCAACAAAGTCGGGTAGTGAGCAAAAGCAAAAATGTCGGGTAGTGAGCAAAAGCAACAATGTCGGGTAGTGAGCAAAAGCAACAAAGTCGGGTAGTGAGCAAAAGCAACAAAGTCAGGCAGTGAGCAAAAGCAACAAAGTCGGGTAGTGAGCAAAAGCAACAAAGTCATTGGTTTCCAGAGAAAATAGTGACTATTACCTTGTCTCTGTCTCTTCAGCTCCTCTACCATAGCCCTCAGTTGTCTGAGCTCAGTGTGGATGATGGACTGGCATCTCTCCTGGGTACTGGTGGTTGCTGCAGTCTCTATCTGCTTGTTGTGAATCTTGTATTCAGAGTCCCAGACAGACACAGCAGCAGCAGGGTCAGAGTCAGTCCCCCCATTCTACAGATGGATAAACTTTAGGAGTAGGCCTATATACTTGAAAGTTCATTCTGTATTGACTTGCTGAACATGTCCACTGTATATACTGTGCACAACCCAGAGTTGATGTCACGATCGTCATTAGATGAAACGGGCCAAGGCGCAGTGTGATAAGCGTACATGATTTATTAGATGTACAACACACGAACAAAAACAACAAACGATACGTGAAGTCCACAGGTTCACAAACACAAACCTACACGGAACAAGATACCACACCACACAAATGCCAAACGACTACCTAAGTATGGTTCCCAATCAGAGACAACAAGCAACAGCTGATTCACGTTGCCTCTGATTGAGAACCACCCCGGCCAACATAGAAACACAAAACATAGAAACTAACACCCTGGCTCAACATTAAAGAGTCCCCAGAGCCAGGGCGTGACAGTACCCCCCCCCCCCCCCCCCAAAGGCGCGGACTGCGACCGCGCCAACCAAACACCACAGGGGAGGGACCGGGTGGGCATTCCACCTCGGCGGCGGATCCGGCTCCGGGCGTGACCCCCACCCTCTAACAACCCCCCCGTAGTGCCCCTGGTCTGGTCCCGCTGGCTGGAGCTGGACTGGACATCGGTGGAGCGGATTGCTTAGGCTCCGGTGTGGCACCTGTGAAACGGGCACGGGCTGTGCCGGACTGACGACGCGCACCACAGGCTTGGTGCGGGAAGCAGGGACGGGCCGGACCGGGCTGATGACGCGCACCATTGACTTGGTGCGGGGAGCAGGAACAGGCCGTACCGGACTGGCGACGCGCACCATTGGCTTGGTGCGAGGGGCAGGAACAGGCCGGGCCGGGCTGGCGACGCGCACCATAGGCTTGGTGCGAGGGGCAGGAACAGGCCGGGCCGGGCTGGCGACACGCACCATTGGCTTGGTGCGAGGGGCAGGAACAGGCCGGGCCGGGCTGGCGACGTGCATCACAGGCTTGGTGCGAGGGACAGGAACAGGCCGGACCGCACTGGGAACACACACCACTGGCCTTATACGGGGATCAGGAACAGGCCGGACCGGACTGGCAACACACTTCAGTACCTCTCGCCGTGCCTCTACACTTTCCTCCCCTCTAATCACCAATGGCTCCCGTAACCCGGTGGCCTTCTCTCCTTGTCCACAAACTCGCCCTTTATCTGCCTCCAGCAGCCCCGTCGCCCATGCCATGTGCCCCCCCCTAAAAATGTCTTGTGGGTGCCTCTCCCCCGTGGATATGGCCTCCATGGCTCTCGCCAGACTCTCCATCCTCTGCTCCCAAGTCCAACCTCTCTCCTCTTCACGCTGCTTGACCCAGTCGAGGTGGTATCTTCTGTCACGATCGTCATTAGATGAAACGGGCCAAGGCGCAGCGTGATAAGCGTACATGATTTATTAGATGTACAACACACGAACAAAAACAACAAACGATACGTGAAGTCCACAGGTTCACAAACACAAACCTACACGGAACAAGATACCACACCACACAAATGCCAAACGACTACCTAAGTATGGTTCCCAATCAGAGACAACAAGCAACAGCTGATTCACGTTGCCTCTGATTGAGAACCACCCCGGCCAACATAGAAACACAAAACATAGAAACTAACACCCTGGCTCAACATTAAAGAGTCCCCAGAGCCAGGGCGTGACAGTTGAATATTAGATGGTACCTGCAATTAGTATAGATAGGGTCTAGGGACTTTTGCACTCATATGAGAAAAGTATCCTCGCACTATGTATATATATATATATATATATATATATATATATATATATATATATATATATATATATATATACAGTACCAGTCAGAATAACCTACTCACAAGTTCA